ACTGCTTAAATAAACGGGCATAGGTTCCATAGAACCTATGATAGAACCGTCAAACGGGCATAGGTTCCAGGACACGAGAGAACCGTCAAACGGTTTACAATTAATAGGAAGGAATGGTCAATTACAAACAAATCAATTACATTATAAATTATAAGTGTCATTGTGACATAAATCTGAAAGTCCCTCGTGAGAACGGAAATTATACTCTAGTATCTAGCTTTCTGGTGAGTAAATCTTAATGAGGTGCTGAAGTTCAGTTGGGTACCCTGTCATCGGACACCTCTGATTGGCTTTAATGTAGACATAAATACAGCGGTAACAGAAGACAAAACCAGAGGTGGAGAGGACGGTGTCATTAGAGCGGACCTTGCGACAGAGTGGACACACTTTCCTGTATCTGGTCTGTGGCTGTTGGTCCTGGAGGTGGATCGGAGGGGGCGGCGTGGGGAGAGAGGTCAGTGTCTTCATGGTGTTCTGGTTCTCCGAGGAGTACCACCAGTCGAGAAACTGCAGGAAGAACACGCCCACGGAGAGACTAGTGGACAGGGACAGAGCCGCACCCTCCACCAGAGTGGACGTCATCCTCTTCAGCCTCTCACTAACACTAAGGGAGAACGAACAACACTCATTAGAGGGAAACATACTTATTGGCTAAATGCCTTTTAATGTGTATTAAAGGGATAGTCCACCCATTCTTACATGTTGACCAACACTACCCTGCAGAATTATTGGCACCCTAGGTAAATATGAACCAAAAAGGCTATTGAAAATGATGTTGATGTTTCTCAGGTTAATGTTAAACCATATGGATTAAATTTTTTTTTACGTAAAACGATGCAACCATTATTAGCATTACTTTCACAGGCTAAACCTCCTTAATCATCCCTCATCACATTAGGAAAATTGCAAAAGCTCATAGTCTATAGAACATAAATTAGATGCCGCCAGCATGGAGAGTTCGTTTGAAAAGATTGTCAATGGTTGTATGAAGAAATTGTCTCAAAGTCAATTTAGAAGAAAAACCATAATAAAAGACAACCAAGGATGAGTGCACAATGTATTACATACAGGGGTGACATGCTTTTAACCAAAATATTATTTTATAAAAAAACAAAGCACCCATAGAAAATTAGATTCATACGATATTTTGAGCTAGGGTGAAAATAATTCTGGAGGGCACAGTTTTTTTTGTGCTTCTGGTTGATTCCTCTAAAAAATCTGCTTTGTTTGCCAGTGGATATTGTTTGTAACATTTTCTGAGTCAATGCTTCAGATTGACTCAAATACAATAATCTGTTTAACATTGTTATAAAACACCTTAAACCAACTGAATATATATCCTAATTTCATACTGGATAATGTCTGCACTGAATAATTCTGTGACAAAATCCAAATCAGCATATATTTGTTGTAAGTCCATACCAGCATCATCCAAACATAAATTTAAAGCAGTTAAAAACAGTGAACATCATGCATTGCAGTGCATCATTGCAGAATCCATCTCTACTCTGTCCTGTCATTTTCTTTGTTACAACAGAGAGAAATAGAGAGAAACAAAGAAAACAATGCTAAATATAAAAATAAGTAAACTTTCTATAAGCTATTCGACAGATGCACCAAAGACATTCTTACCTTGAGCCTGCGACCACAGAAGAGACGGCTGGTTTCAGGTCCATATTTAAGATGTCATGTCCTGTAAGGTGAGCAAGCTGGACACCTGCCAGCCACAGAAACGGTGAGTGGGTCTTGACTCGGCCAAACACATACAGCAGCTGCTGACAGAAGACCCAGCTATCCCAGCCCATGCTGACATAGGGATAGGCTGCCAGAAAGGCCCTGTACATCCTTTGCAAGGGTGACTGTGGCAGGCAGATGGAGAAATCATCCTCGTCCCTCTGTTTAGCCAGAACCTGCTCCAACTTGGCCCTTAGGTAAGGAACTAAAACAAGAAGTACCAGCGAATACCAGTGGTGTTTCCCACGTAGACCTAGATGAGCTGGTCGTTCTCGCCCCATAGCATCAATGCGCTTCAGACTATAAAAGTTCTCAGAGAATGAGGCACTTGTCCGCAAAAGAAAATGGTGCTGCAGCAACACATCAAGAACGACGTAAATTTCATCAAATCTCCGCCAGAGGAATCCATAGCGAGACGGGTTGGACTCGGCTAGAACCTGTGGTAATATTTAAGAAAAGGAAATACAGTAAGAAAAAATAAACTAGAGCAGCATGGATCAAATTAAAATGTACACTTCGCTTTAGATCTTGGCAAACATGGTTTGAGCTTGAACAACATTCCACAGATGGATTGGGGAATCCACTAAAATCGCAAAGAGGAAAAAGGCCACATGTAAGCTAATACATTTTATCTAACATCTTTGAACACATAAATAACATCACATAGATTACCTTTGTACGTATACTTGAAACTACTAGGAGCTGGATGATCAGCTTCTCCTAATATTATTGTGTTGTGGTATGATGATGTTTTCAAAATGCAGAGATATTATTGATTGTATAGATACAAAACATATAATGCTATATTAAAAAAATACCAAACATTTTGTTTTGTGGCACAGTGTTATCATGATATTAAGGCATATTATACTAACAGTATATGACTCTTTACTTGATCCTGTATTGCCATGTAGAATTGCCACATCAATGTCCCAACAAAAACAAAAAGTTTGGCTGCCTCTACTCAGTGAATAGAACCAGCAACCTATAGATTACTGCCCCAACACACATTGCCTTTTGCAGTCCCTCTATTCCCAATAAGGCATGTAGTACAGTAATGTAAGCTGAGGAGACTGGTACCCTGGCTACCAAAATGCTGCTGTAATTCAATAATGACACAGGCCATATGTGGGCATCCAAAAACTAACATGATGACTTAACAGAGCACATGATCAGATCCAACATTGTAATGGTATTCCTGTAGTTTATTAATTTATCTTAATTATCTAGAGAAACTATTGACCAGGATCCTCCAATATACTTGCAAAAAATAACAAGATTATATCCAGCTGGTTCCAAAAATAACTACCATGTCATTAGACATTTTATCGTGAGGCTCCAACAGCCTGACTACCGGGGTCAGTAATGTGACTCTACACAGGATGGTTGTTTCATAACCATAGTTTATAGTTATTTTTATAGTAGATAAAAACAACAGGGGTGGGAAATAACATCAAACCTTCACAGCGTGCCGCAAGGCGGGTCTGACAGCACCCATCAGGGAGTCCTGAGCAAGGACCTCAAATATCGACGCTCTATCATCTGTAGCTGTGGTTGTCAAATGTGCACCAAGTTCAGCCATGGCAGATACGGTTAAAAAATGTTGGCAACAAGTTTAACCGGATACCAGTGTAACACTAACAGCAAAACAAGCTGGGTGAGAAACACGAGTTAGATAATAACTTTAGCTGCAACCAGGCCGACACAATGTAATGTTTAATTCGACGCTGCAGCTCTGATATACATCGTGTGAACAATAATAAAAAAGCACTTCCGGGTCAGGGAACGTTGAAACATTTCAAAATAAAGGTCACCACAGAATTTATAGAAAAATGTCATAAAATGTTTTCATTGTATATTAAAAATAGCTACGGTAAAACAATGACAACTAACCAGTCAAACTATCGATATGTGTAATGGAAGAATTGCTGCGGGAACAGTCTCAGGAAATGTCATCTGTTTGCTCTTCAGAAACTCGTTTTCTGATCCGCAGACCAACTTTTTTAAAGTTATCAATGATGATGATTCTCAGCCAGGTGAAATCCAAAAAGAATCATGAATTATTTTAATTTAACTGATTAACTTGTACGAACGGTAACTCAATAAACTCTTTCAAATTATTACATTTTATGTTTATATTTTTGCACAGTATACAAAGTCACTGGCAAGTCTAAATTCCCCAAAATTGGGGCGCTTATAGCAAAAGTTTCAGCAATGAAGAGCTATGAATTTAGTTGGTCAAAACAAAGAAAACGCGGCACATATTGCAAAACATGTTTGGAATTTTATTTCCGTAATGTTTAGTTTCTTGACAAATATGCGTTAATAAACTACATTATATTTGACCAAACATCTGTGTCAGTGTCAAAAGATGTTGTTTCACAACTTCCGGTCAAAATGAACTATGTTCCGGTGTTACGCCAATCTGTCTCCGACATCCTTCAGTCATTTTGTTTTTCCGGGAGATCTCCATCTTTCCACGGTTTACTGTCCCTCTGCGGCAATCGAGAAAAACACATTTCTCCACTTCGGGATTAGCGAGGATCTTCTATTTCCCCAGCTATTTATTTCCTAGTGGAAATAGTACGTGTGTACCTTACGATTTATAATCAGGATTTTGGTGTGTTTTAACGCCAAATGCTACCGGAACGAGCAGGCTAACGTTCCCAGAAAGGACGGCCCCCGCATCACCAGCTATTTAGCTTAGCAATAAGGACAGATATTTTCCATCCTTCACTGGCTACTGGTCACACCCAAAAAGTATTACATTGTAACGTTAGCTAGTTAATGGAAAACACTTGCTTTGTTGTGCGTTTAATAGATATTTACATGATTTATAGCTTACTTAAGTAACTTGGGTATTGACCAATCTGTTTTCCTTACTTAGTACATGCACAATATGACAGTAAACTGCCTTCCAGAGTTGGGAGTTTTTTTCTGCCAGCTACTTATTTACGTTTACCTTGAAAAGTGATTGCTGTTGTGTTGTGCATCTGTTTCTGTGATAAGATGCTGTCATATTTGTGCTTTGGCTATTGCCTCCCATTCAGCTCTATACAATAGATCCAGAAGACAAGATTATATTATATTCTCAACTCTCACTAATTTGTCACTGTGGCCTCTATGACCATTGTATGTGCCCGTTCTTGTGTTCCTTTAGTCTAATCTTGGATCTTTCTCAAACAGATTTGAAGAACACCAAAAATGACTGATTCAAAGTATTTTACCACAAATAAAAAAGGTGAGTAATAAGATACTTATCGTGAGGAGTTGGTAGCTCAGTGGTGGAGTGCATGCTTTGTGGGTATCAAGTCCTGGGTTCAATCACCAGCTTCTCCCCAGGTCGCCATTGCAAATGAGAATTTGTTCTCAATTGGCCTACCTGGTTAAATAGACAAAAAAATAAAAGTATTGTCATATGTTTGCTGTAATCTTCAAAAGTATTTCCCCATGAATCTCAAGCTCATGGCTGTTATTAGGCTGTTGTTATTGACACTTTTATACCTTGCAACACAACGTAGATTTTATCATTTGCTTAAAGGCTTAAACATTTCTACACCCGTTTAATCACCTTTGCGAAATTTTTATTTGTCTCAATCCATTTTGAAATCCCGTAGCCAAGAACCAAATTTGCTTGTAGTCACATAACTCTACGAGTGTGAGACATGACATATTTTAGTTCAATTTGTCCACAAGAACCTTCCCAGAATAGATTGGACAGTGGCTAACGCTACGTCTGTATCCTGTTACAGGGGAGATCTTTGAATTGAAGGCAGAGCTGAACAATGAGAAGAAAGAAAAGAGGAAGGAGGCGGTGAAGAAGGTCATCGCGGCTATGACCGTGGGCAAGGATGTCAGGTACAGAACAGCTGATTGTGTCCTGTGATACATGACCCGTACATCCCTCGGATATTATTCAATGACCTGGTAGCACAATCTGCTCTATTATTGTACCAGAGAACCTGTGCAAATGTAAAGATATTGTGTGTGGTTTCATGAGAGACGTTTTAACCATCTTACTCATTGCAGTATGTTCGTAGCTATTTGTTGCAATATTCACTGAACAAAATTATGAACGCAACACTAATTTGTGTTAATGAGAAGTGCTCACTAACCCAAATTTAAACAGATTTGTGAACAATATTTGAGAGGCCTTTTGTGTACATTGTGTATTGTACACATAACATATGGCCAATATATCATAACATATGGCCATATCACATAACATATGGCCAATATATCATAACATATGGCCATATCACATAACATATGGCCAATATATCATGGCTAATATTTGTTTTCAGGCAATCCACATCATGGAGTGCCTGCATACAGCACTAACCGGTTATCCTGTGTCAATGTATCACAAACCCTAACACTGCTTTATTGGCTTGACATAAGAGTTTGAAATTTGACTATAGGAAACAGAGAAAGGCACCGCACCAAAAGGTGCTGCAACATATGGAGAAAGAATGGTGTTGTTTATTAGCTTGATTTAAATCTACCAAACCTATTGGATATTATCAAGTTGTCAGAAAACCAAAACTCATGTAGTTGTCATACGTGTGAAGTCAGAGAAAACTAGTTAAATTAGAAACAAAGTTTGTGATTGTCATCAGATTGGGAAAATATGTAGCTACAAAACCGAAAATGCCATTTCCATTATTAAGACAGTTGTCAGTACGATTTAATGAACCGATGCTGTGGACGGGTCTGGAATAGCAAATGAACAATGTGCTACATTGCAAAAAAAAACATGACAGTACATTTTAGTGTGCAAGTTTGGCCTTTTTTTGTCTCACTATTGAAACACGATGTATTCAAGGGATCTTGAGCTAACGTTGAGATAACTTTAAGCTAACAATGAGCTAATGTTGTCTGGCCTTTAGCTCCCTCTTCCCAGACGTGGTGAACTGCATGCAGACTGACAACCTGGAGTTGAAAAAGCTGGTCTACCTGTACCTGATGAACTACGCCAAGAGCCAACCAGACATGGCCATCATGGCTGTCAACAGCTTTGTCAAGGCAAGACTTTTTTTTATTATTGATTTAATTTTGTCATCAGAGTATGATGGAGGGGATATATTGGCGACGGATTGATACAAAAGACTATCGGACGGATTTAACCCTTTGGATCGTGTCAGAAGCTGTGTCAGTACCACTAGACCAGCGAGACAGTCCACCAAGATATAGTGTTTAATTTAACATGCGTGTATTTGGTTTTCCTCCTTTCTGGGCATTTCACACAACCTAGTGGAAGTTTTCACAGCCCGATTGCAGCACATCCTCTATTGTAATTTCACAACGCTGCCTTTTGCCTTTCAACTTCCATGTGCTTCTCCCCATCTGGCACTGACTTCGCTGGTAGCTACTTCATTGAGTAAATTACGATATTGGGTCGTATGGTTCTCCCACCCATTAGTAGTCATTATAATACCCATTCCACTTCCATCTCCCAGGACTGTGAGGACCCCAACCCCCTGATCCGGGCCCTGGCTGTGCGTACTATGGGCTGTATCCGCGTGGACAAGATCACAGAGTACCTCTGTGAGCCGCTGAGGAAGTGTCTGAAAGACGAAGACCCGTACGTGAGGAAGACGGCGGCTGTGTGTGTGGCAAAACTCCACGACATCAACGCCCAGATGGTGGAGGACCAGGGCTTCCTGGACTCCCTGAGGGATCTCATCGCTGATTCCAATCCCATGGTGGGTTAGACTCTTATACTCGACCTACATTGTGTATTTACATTTCATGCATGCCGACACTAAGTCGCTGTGATGAAGAGTGTTTGCTATATGTGTAAACGCCTGGGGTAAGGCATAAAATTAATAAAAATGTGTTCTGGGACCCGTCACCATAGTTACTCTCAATCTAAACTATTTCTCCAATGAGATGATTTGCTCTCGGGCCAGTGACATCACAAGGGACCTTAATTATCTTCTCTTCCCACTCACCACTCTGACTTTACCTTAAGGTGGTGGCCAATGCAGTGGCGGCTCTGTCTGAGATCAGCGAGTCCCATCCCAACAGCAACCTGCTGGACCTCAACCCCCAGAACATCAACAAGCTGCTGACGGCTCTTAACGAGTGCACTGAATGGGGTCAGATCTTCATCCTGGACTGCCTGTCCAACTACAACCCTAAAGATGAACGTGAGGCCCAGAGGTACTCCGGCACCGTCCCTGAAGTCACTTCTGCTATCGTTCTAGACATAAATGGATTTGTTGTAAATCCTCAATGATCCGGTCACTAACACCCAATCATGACGGCCATGTCAACTGTGCTAGCTGGTTACACTGCAAGGACATTTGTATGGGAAATAAAATTCTGTTACAGAGGCATACTAGACTGTTAGCACTGAAACAGTGGTTGGTTATTGAAGAGCATAGGAAAAACACACAAATTAATAATAATTTGCATGACATTCCATAAGATTGTACACGTATTTGTACATGGGAGAGTTTTGTCTGTTGCACCATAGGAAGTAAAGGTATATCTGACACACAACATTCTGAGCCGAATTCCCTTGTTTGATAGTGAACAGTTCCTGCCTGTTGGCATGAGGCATCCATTAGCCCAACTGTCATCTGTCTTTGAGGTTTTTGTGGATTATTGATGGTTTAGCGCTAGAACAACCTTTTCCAAACAGACTGTATACCTGAGGATGTTTACTGTTAAAGTATTTAAACAGGTAATGCTGTAGGTATTATCTCATGCTTGTACTTTAAAATACTTATGTCATTGACTTTATTATTTACAAACAGGCCTGTTCACCGGGTTGAGCGAGTAGAAGTTGTTCAAAGGCAGATCATTGGTTACTCTGCTGTGAACACATTCTTAGTAGCCTGCTATGTCTGAAGATTATTGTAGCTGTCGAATAATGTTATTATTCACTGCCGATGATGCCGCACGTGATGCAAGACGTTGTAACGATTCGGTGTCATCTGTTGCTATGGCAGGGTTAAAGAACAGGCCATGTCTCACCGGACTGTCTGTATGTCCCCACCATAGTTTTTGGTACCATTTTTAGCATGACATTCCAGTTTTTGCTTCTGGTATTATTGACCCACATGATAGCGACCATCCTAACATGTAGGCCAAACAGGCACACGGGAGAGGGCCCCTTAAAATGTAACGACCAATCAAAAGCCAGCAGTTCCTCAATGCCATTTGAGATAATTGTATATTATTTCGCCCACCAACAAGACGCTTATAAGCCCAACATGGTTTTGGTGAATCGGTATGCACGACTAGGATCTAATTAACCCACCTCCCTCCCCTCCAGCATCTGTGAGCGGGTCACCCCCCGGCTGTCTCACGCCAACTCCGCCGTGGTTCTGTCTGCCGTTAAGGTGCTCATGAAGTTCCTAGAGCTGCTGCCCAAGGAGTCGGACTACTACAACACCCTGTTGAAGAAACTGTCCCCCCCGCTGGTCACCCTGCTATCTGGGGAGCCAGAGGTCCAGTATGTAGCCCTCAGGAACATCAACCTCATCGTCCAGAAAAGGTAAAGCTAGAGCAACACCACCAACCTGCTCAACTTGCTACAAAAAGTGTATTGCGTATCAACCCAATGCCAACTAAATGATTTCTAAATAGCGATTTTTCATTTTTCCATCCGTCCCTAATGTTTTTGTAGTGAGTCAGAGACGCATCATAAATGATTGGAAAGACGGACACGACAATAATACGTCTCGTTTGTGTTTTTGCTAATGAGTGTTTTAAGCTAGCTAGTAGAAAAGAGAAGGGACTTCTAGATGCAGTGAACTACCCTGGCTCTGTGCATCGCTGAACTCTATCACTGCTCGCTAGAAATTAGCATCAAGTACAGCGTATCTCAACGCTCAAAAGTCTCTGTCGCCGGGAGATTTTGTCTCTCCGAGCGAAGCTCCGCCCACAGTCGTCGAGTGTCGCTGGCTCTCATTGGTAATGAATGGAAGGCTGTGTTATTGTAGCTGTAGCAAGCCGCCGGTGTGCATTCCCTTTAAGGGGTCATCATGCTGAGATATTTGGTACTTCACTGACTTAACAGGCACTTCCTATCCTTATGTGCTTTCCCCACCTAGCTGTCCCGTTTCTGGATGGGAGTCTGGTAATACTAAAGTAGAGGAAAGACAAAAGTACTCAAATATTTTTTGCCTGCAATAGTTTTCTAGCCTGCAATAGTTTTTTAGTCATTAAGTGAATCCCTTAGTGACATAGGACGTTTGTTCTGTTAGATAGCACTCTTGTTTAGGTGTCTTGGCCTCACATTTTTGCATTGTGACATTTTCAATTCCCTCCACTAGATGGCAGCACTTGTCTTCCTTTGTACCAGTCTTCTATGCTCTGTTTTTAGT